AGATGCTCGTTTCACCTCTAGATTTTGGACGAGTCTTCAGTAGGCTCTAGGCACCATATTATCTTTCAGTAAGGCATTTCACCCATAAACAAATGGTCAAACGGAGAAAATCATCCAGACATTAGAAGACTTGCTTAGGCATAAAAAGCTACTTACTGAAGACATTAGGATATTGAGCTCATATCAAGTAGGCATATTACTTGCTTTAAAGATATATCAAGTTTAGAGGACCAAATTTTTGTAAGGAGAGAAGAATTGTAATATCCGGTTCTCAATGAAAAGTTTGTGTGAATAAGTAAATAAATAAAAGAATTTTAATTTTGTGATAAAATAAATTAAATTAAAACTTAGGATCTCAATGAAAGAATTTTAGAAGAAAAGGGAGTCAATGCATAATTAAATAAGAGTGGAAGGGGGAAAATAATAAATTAAAAAATGGATGGTGAAGATCGCACCATCTGAGAGATCCAACGACTTTAAATCGCATCCGATTGAATGACCCAGATCTTATCTTACAAGATCAGATGGCTAGGAAAACTAGTATTTAAAGGAGCAAATTAGGGTTCCTCATTTAGCAAAGTGAGAGCTGAAAATGAGAGAGGAAGAGAGCTAAGTTTGAACGGGTGAGAGAGGAGGCCGAGCTAAGTGAGGGTCGGGTCGAGAGGGAGAAGAGAACACTGCAAGAAAGAGAGATGAGCAATGAAAACTAGAAGAAGAGAAGGAAACGCAGCTAAAAAGGAAGAAGGAGGTTCCGTGGAGGCAAAATGACGAATGAAGGACAGGAAAAAAGGAGTCGCAACTGGGAAATGCTATGTTGCTTGCAGATTCCAAAGTTGTGTTGCACACGACGCTGACATTCAGAAAACATGTGAGTTTTCATCCCTTTCTACTTCGCCGAGTTTCCCTTTTTGCATTTCACTCTAACAGGCATGCAGGTGTGAAACTAAATCACTCAACCCATCACAGCAAGTGAGGAGTTTCTCTCGGGAAACCAAGAATACTATTCTTTGGAGGCTAGGAATCGAATCCGAGGCTATTTTGGATTTTCTAGGCACCGAAACCAAACTAGGTGAGTTTATTTTTCCTCTTTCAACGTAGATTTTGGTGAATATAGATGTTAATATGTATGTGTGTATATACGTATAGATTTTGAAAAATAAATCACCCACATCTATGCAGAGAGCTGAAGTGGTGGTTCACTGAATACCAAAAAATGAACTTGCTATTGGTAATTACCCAAAACTGTCACTGTTAGTAGTTTTCTTTTAGGTTTAATTCATTTTCATCAATTAAATTTGATTATATTTATGTATGGTGATTATAGGCAGTAGATCAAGTTAAAGATAATATATTTGAGGGAATTTGGTAAGTATTTCCTCATTCCAAACCTGGATTAGGATTTTAAAAGCTTATGCATGTGTATTCTTAATTTTTGTGTGTGTTTGAGTCCAGTACAGATACTTCACTAGTATATTGAGAAGAACAGAGACCCGAACATCATCCAGGTAGCGTGAGTCTACTAGGAGGAGTTCAGGACATTTGATCTATGATGGTTGCATACTTATTTTGTTGTTTTTGACAATTATGAACCTGCATGACTGTTATGTGAACTGGCATAAAAAGGGAAAATTTCGAGATTTATAATAAGATAAAATAAGAGTGTAATTTAAAAATAACTAAAATTAATTAGAGTAAAAAGTAATAAATTAAATAAAGGAAGAAATCAAAAAAGAAAGAGTGAACATGAGTGAGTAATATATAGACCCTGGATACCTACTCGTTTAGTCTGAATCGAGGAGGGGAGGGTGCGTCTGTGGCTGAAGTTCAGCGGGTATAGTGAACATGCACATAGATAGAGTTTGAAACCTAGTCTAGATATGGATAGGTATTTGTGAGCGTGGGTCACCTAGCAAACGTAACTGTTGTGACCAATATGAGATTATGTGTCTTATCCATGCAATGGAGGGATCCTTTTCACCTCTCCTCGATGACGACATAAACATAATCACACAATGAAATCTTAGAGTTGACTTCTTGAATGTATATATATTCTTTCGAGTGTATGTGGTGATACTTCGAGGCTATAAATAATATTCGAGTATAATTGAGAAATCCGATTAGAAATATGTAAAATTAGAGTGTTCAAAACAATTCTGTTTAATAAGTAAATTCTGGTTTAGAAAATTATGAAAATTATAAATAAATTTTGTATTGAAAATATTACTACTACATTTGTCACATATTGTGCATTTTTGCATGATGTCTGATCTGAATTTTGAAAGAACGAGAATGCTTATTGAGTTGGTAAAACTCATTAAATTGCACTTTGATATTTTTCAGATGAGGAAGAAGAGGCAGAACCATTGTCGAATGAGTAGAACTTGTGAAAATATTCCAATTCATGTATATTTTGTTCAAATTTTAGAAATTTCTATTTTGTTTTGTCAAACTCTATATTTTGACCTCATGTCTGTATATATAACTACTTATATATCATATGGGATGTTAGGTTTAATATTAAACCTTTGAGCCATACATATGCATATTTTGTGGGTCCATTGAATGAAGAATGGTACAAATAGATTTGTGCCTCATTATTGAGTTTGGGGCATTACACAAAATGGACAAAATTACTAAAAGAAATCAAATTTTCTAAAAGAAGTTTGAAAGAATACCAAAACATTAAAAAAGAATACTCATATTTTTTTATAAAAGAAAATTTGATCTTTTTCAGTCCAGACTCGGTCAAACTTAAAAATACTAGTATGGACAGTCTAGAATAAAAAATAAGATGGTTCAGTGTTTATTTGGTCATCGATTTGATCTAATCTAGTTCTAGATTGATGAATGGTCCTATATGTTAGTAGATTTTAAAAATTATCACTAAAAATGTCTAGAGTAGTTAGTACAATAAATTTTTTTGCATAATCTATAAATATAACTTTATCAATTTAAAATAAATTTTATAGGAATAATAATACACTAGTACAAAACATAATTTCAATTGTTCAATTTTTTTAACTATTTGTATTGAGAATTTAAACTTTTAAAAAGTTTTTCTATTTTAAGCCACAAAATTGTGTAATAAGTAACAAATATATTTCTCAAAATTTACAATAAATTACAATATCAATTTCTAGAGCCAAAAAAGGGGAAAATATATATAATTCTCACAAAAAATTAGAATTAAATAATTAGGTGAGAGTATACTCATGAAAAAAAATGGACGAGAAGAAATTCATAGTATTACTGTTAATATTTAAAACTATACAAAATTGACATAAGGTTGGGAATGTTTATATTCCAATTTAGACAGAAGAACTGGGTCGAATTATTCGACTTAGATCAAAATATTTGCTTTAAAATAGATCATATCAAAAATTGATAGGTTCGGCTCTCGATCAATAAATAAAAAAATCAAAAGCTTTGATCTGATCTTCAATTCGGAGGTAGCTGTTATAGTGAATTTTTTTGTCTAAACTATAAAAGTAACATTATTAATTTAAATAAATTTTCTGAGAATAATAGTATACTATTACCAAACAAAATTCTAATTGTTCAAATTTTCTTTTAGCTATTTGTATTAAAAATTTAACCTTTAACAAAGTTTTCTATTTTAAGCCACAAAATTATGGAACAAGTAACAAATATATCTCTCAAAGTTTAAAATAATTTTATGGCATTAATATGTGGAGCCAAAAAGGAAAATAAATATATAATTCTTACAAAAACAAATGTAAGTAAACAATCTAGTGAGAGTATTGTCATGAAAAAAAAAGGAGAATAGACGGGAATGTAGAGTCTTTAAACTCTAAGAAAACCCTAAATAACATATAAAGCCCCTTCCATGGCCGGTTATTTTTAGTTTACATAGTATACTAATAATGTTTGTTACAGTAATTATATTATTTTTCTTCTAGATGCTATATACATATTGTTTCTATTAAGAAAAAATTTATGGGTATATTGAAATTAAAAAAAAATAAAAATATAAAAAGTCTCCTAGATTTTAGTTAGGATGAGAATTTTTGAGTTATTCAATCACCAAGATATCCGTTATATATATTAATATTGGCTCTTTATTTTTTGTCGCTTTTTTATGTGAATATAGAATGTTAATAATTTCGAGCAACGACAAAAATATATTCTTTGTACAAATTCAAGATTTTGAAATGACACCTGTACTATTTATAAAAATACATTTTTAGCATAATAATGTTAATCCATCATTAGAATTTCAAAAAAAAATATAATATCCCATTATTGATTATGTGTGCTAAAATTTCTACCATAGTTATATACTTATATAATAAAACCCTAAGTTTGAAATTAAAAGAAAACAAAGATATATAAAAAAATCACTAGATTTTCTTTAGGGTGAGAATTTTTAAGTTAATTGATTTTTCATTTTTTGTCGCTTCTTTACATGAATATAGAATTTTAATGATTTCGAGCAACGCAAAAAAGATAATCATCGTACAAATTCAAAAAACTTTAATGGCGCTTGTACTATCTATAAAAAATACACTTTTTAGCATAATATGAGCGACCCATCATTTGAATTTCCAAAATATTATACCGCATTGTGGAATGTGTGTTAAAACTTCCAAAAATAAATAATTTAACGCGGATGAATATGAAACTTATTAAGGTAGTCGCTACGAACTTTTGGTAAGTACAGCGCAAAGCCAAACTACTTCCAACCATTTGAAACATCTTAATCTAGATCTGCAAACCACCATAGATGAAAATGACTGAAACACTTAAAAATTAAGAGAAATAAAGATTTTTCTTAGCAAACATACATTGAAAAATAAGATAGAGAATTAGTTTAAACAAAACATTAACTTTTATTTCAGATGATATCCATTTTATTGCACGATAACGGTAAAATTCAAGCATGACATGTATCCACCGATCAATATAACAGTACCAATAATGGTATATCTTAAAATACTAAGTACATAAATCTATCAATGGACACATAGACGACCTTTTAATTACTCCCGGCTCTCGTACTTGCGAGCCCAAATATGCTTTCCATTGTTCTTGAACTTGGCAATCCGACAACCACTTAGAACGATATCAACTTGCTCAACAGAGCGAAGGATGAGCTTTGCAAACAATGGCTGCTCATGGGGTTGAATGTTGTCCTGCATAATCACAGTTTTAACAAAATTATCACCGAAAGTTCTGGTAAAAACATCTGCCACTTCAGTTGCCGTCACTGGAGATCCTCGGGAGAAAGTCAAGAACATGGTTCTGTCATTTTCTGTAACGTTATTGCCAGGGTGCCATCCCCAAATCCCTCCATTGGGTAAACCATAATCGCAAGCTCTTGGCATCACATGAACTGAACCAAAAGTTGGATGAGGAAAACCGGGAATAACAAGAGGTTGGTTAAGACTTACAAAATAACGATTTCCCAACACGAGGTGGAGAATATCAGGGAAGATTCGAGAGCAAACGGAGCCAAGGAAGTTTTTGATTCCAGTAACAGTTTCATACTTCTGTTGGTAAATCGACACGAAAGATATGTCGGTGCCAAAGAATTTATCAGTGAGGGGCATGCCACCATCAGAAACTGGGGAAGGAGGATTGTTGGATTCGAGGAACTTGATGCAAGCAGCAGCTTCATCAGCTAGAAGATCCACAACATGGTCCGGTATCGACCGCATCTTGTAGACGAGACCGGGCATACGTTTCTCTTCAAGCCAGAGCCAGAAGGCCAAAACCAACATAGACTCAGCTGGATCTCGCATGAAAGTGATAACCAGCCGAGAGAATAGCTCACGATCAATGGTGTGAAACGAAAATAGCTCTTGAGGAGTGAGTGAGGCCATAGAGGAAGAGATTTTTGGGCTATCTGAAAGAGAGAGAGTTGCAGTGGTGAAGAGAGGGTTGGTGATTATGTCTCTTTATAATGTGAGAACCCAATGTAGGGTAAGTGCTTACAAATATAATAATATTTTTTTATTAGAAAATATATAAAAATAAAATGAATACAAAATATGACAAGTAAAGTTATAATCTTCATTTAGAAAAACATTATGATTATTTCCATTTGTGTTTGGATTTAATTCCCTTTATGATGATATCCAAGCTAGCTGTGTGTTACCCTAATCTCCTAATTATAACTTAACCAGAAAAGATTTTTCATTTTTTCAATTTTTTTTTTCATTTAACACTTTCCTTTTATTTGAATTTTTCCATAATTGATTATCTTATTCACCCACTTTAGTTTGCAAATTGTATAATTTTTCCATAATTGTATAATTTTATTCACTAATAGTGTCATTAATTCTAGTGGTGTTTTTTCTATTAATTCAGGAAATCTAATGTGCTTTTTGGAAAAAAAATAAAAAAATCTACTAAATACATCTTCTTGAGATAATTAATTTAGTGGGTAGTAAATTGAATTACTATTTCCTACAAAATATAATTTAATTTAATTTCTTTGACAAATTAATAACAAAAAGAGGTTCTTAATTAATAATTAACAGCTTGAATTCTTTATCGAACATCAAGAACTATTTAAACAAACTTTAATTTCACCCATTTTTTATCCTCATCTTGTCTTGAATTATAGTAGCCTTTTCTAAGTCATAATGAAACTTAGTAACTAAATTAGGTGAGCATATTTTTGACATAATTAATTTACCGGAGTTTAACTTAAGGATTACTGGACTTCCTTGATTGAAATATAAATTTAATTTTTTTCAAAATTAAAAAAATGTGGGGTTCACAAGTAAAACCGATTCATTAAACCATGATGAATTGTAACCGAAGTTCTTTGTCGGGTCAACAGGAAAATTCCAAAGACCTCTGCAAATCTCAAAAACCAAGGCTACTCTCCTTCTTCTATTACACCTAAGCAACTCACTAAAGGATTACTATGCTAAGCTGGATTAGTCAAAAGTACTCGCAACTCACACAACCCGCACAAGGGATTATTAATATTATATACATATATATACCTAAAACGGCTCGAAATTTTTAGAAACGTCTCTCACCCACCAAATTAAAGCAACAATGGATGATGATGGTGAAGAAGGTATTTATGGAAATGTAAAATTATGTAAAGTTTGGCATTTTCTAAAAGAAGAGTTACAGGTGTTAGTAATTGTTGAAATTGAAGCTTATCCTAATTCTATTGTAGATAAGCGTTATGTCTCTTCTTTCTATATACTAATTTAACATTAACCTCAGACTTAATAATGAAGTAATAAAAATTTCTATTTTTATTATATCTATTTCTGGTAGTTCCACATTAAGCCACCAGATAACAACGAAGTATGAATTGGGCTGACTCCACCACGTTTTTAATAATAATTAATTTGTTGGTAAAAATTACTTGAACCATGTCAAATCGAAATTGCCACTAACCATTGTGCTTGTTTAAAAGCATGTGGCAGTGTTTAAGCATCGGCCTCAAATTGGATGACTTAGTAGAAAATAAACTACCAATGACTACTTAAAGTATGATAAAATATATTTATAATAATGGATCTGCATGCGACGGTAATTTTTTAGAAATTCTACCAATTACATCTGTAATCTCATTCGATTTATTAAGTTTATAGTAATGACTGTAGAATTACATTTTGTCATTGCCAATTTACATGTCTATATGTCCAACTAAATTTATAATTTTTACTATTTTATTAATTCATAGATGATAAGATAGCAAATATACATTTCTTAAATTCTTAGTCTAACAGTCAAGAAACATCAGGTACTATAGACGTAGATTTGCCCTCGGTATGTTTACAATAAGAATAAGATTTTTTTTTTTTTTCTGAAACATAAGAGGTTATGTTGGCTTCCTCCATTACAATTCATTTGCAACCAATACTTGAACAATTCAAATTTATTGATATCTAATCAATCGAAGTTCCTTGTAAACCACTGTACATCACGCCGCTCACATTCACCTTTGATATCTTGCTATTATTTAAGAAAAAAAAAATTAAAATTTACATTCAACTGGTTTTGTTTTAATTTTTTAAATTTTTTAAAAAAAATAAAATTTAAATAAAAAGAAATTTTTTATAATTTTGTTGATCGATTATCATAGGATTTTTTCAATCAATGAATGTGATGTCTTCAAAGGAGATAGCACGAGCATATTCTTATCCTTCCTGAAAAAGAAAAGTCAGATGTTTAGCCTGGACTGATTGAAGAGATGGGTTTTCTATTAAATTTAGACAATAATATAATGTGAAGATAGAAACTTTTAAGTCATCAAGAGAAACAATTCAATTTAACTAAAACAAGAGGAGAGAAAACAAAGTCCTCCACAAAGCATAATAGTATTTTACACAGCATTTAATCTATTTTGACGCAAAAGAAACTGACAGAATTTTCAGTATAAAAACAATTGTTCCATTTTTATATATTATATATTATTTCAATTTTTAACAAATATATATATATATATATAATATTCCATTTCTAAATCTATTTTTGCAATTTCAAAAGCATTTTAAGTATGAAAAAAATCATTTAAATTTTCTAATCTACAATTAATGGAAATTACCAAGATCTGTCTTTGAAATATTTCTCCTTGTGGTATTTCTTTTCTTCGTTTTCTACGTACATATTAACAATGCTGCCCATTGGTGAATAGCTGCTTCTCTTTTTATTTCCATATTGAAAGGGGAGGCGGGATTTTGAATTATTTTTATGAAGGAATTAACAAGGAATGCTTATTTTGTTATGTAAATTAAAAAAAAAATATTTATGCAGTCGGTCTGGTTAATAATTGAATAACCAAAAATATATTAATAAAATTTAATTTTTTAAAATTTTATAAGCATATTAATTAGATAAATATATGTATATATTAATGTATCCACAATTATTTATTTAACATTTATAACTCTATTAATCTTAAAAAATATGTGATTATTAATTTAAAAGAACATTTAAAATTTTTAATTGGTTGTTCAGTCAGTTTAATTTTTAAGTTTCAGAATTGATTAAAATTAATTAATTTTTCAGTTTTTGACAAATTTAACTAAAAAAAAAAGAGCAAATCGAATCAATTTTCTTAATCGGAGTAAATATTTAATTCAAAATAAGACAGGAGAAATGACATCCTGATCTAGCAAAGGAACCAAAAGTGACTGAAATTTCCATGTAGTATAATTTTCATCAGAATTATAAAAGACTCTACGAGCTAAAATATAAGCTGCCACGTGACTCCAAAACTGCAGTAGGATCTCCAAAACTGCTGTGAAAAGCCAAATTTTATCGTGATATGTGATATGTGATTGTTTTTTTTTTTTTTTTTAACATCTCTATTACCTGTAGCTGCCTCGCGATATCACGCCCATGCGAAATGTTTTTTGGTGCAGAAACTGCCGCTAAAGGCCAATTGTTGTGTTGCATGAAACTTTTTATGCTCGTAACGTGGGGCATGGATGGGAACTGATGGTGGTACAAACTTAAATGACCCAGCCTGCAGGCCTGGCCCTAATGGCTCCTCAAACTTTACCCCAAATAACATATAAAATCCAATTAAGGTTACAGTCTGACATAACTATAATATCCATCATAGAATCAACTCAAATAAGGTCAAAATATTAAATTTAGCGATAAAAAGTTTGAAAAAAGAAATGTTTAATATGAATATGAACCAAAAGTTTTAATTAATTATGATTCTTTAATATATTGTACACCTTGTTGGGTGAATTAATTAGTATGATTGATGGCTTCGATCATTGATTGCTGGAACCACTCAAGCAATTAAAGATTTGAGTGGGTTGGCTAGCTGTTTGCTGTTTTGCCTTGCATTCGACGGGTCCTGTTCAAACTGGATCAAAGGCAGCAACTATTTATATGTGCAAAAAGTAAATAAATACCATAATTGAAATAATATTTTAGATCAACTCAGTTTGATCTCACAACACATCACTAGAGTTTGATAATTCTGTCAAATAGGAAAAGAAAGTAAATCAGCCACTCAGTGTGGTCTTTGAACACAAAATGAGTTTCTTGAAAACAAAGAGAAGAAAGAAGATGAAGGAAAGATGTGGTTGCAGTAGGTGTTGCTGTTAGACGGTAGGATAAAAAGAAGAAGATGATTTTTGCTTGGCAGCCCTAGATTTTATAACCCAAAGAGGCTAGGGTTTCTTCTTTTCTTGATTGAGATCTTTCCTCAAATATTTCGGCTTATTCTCAGCTTTCAAAATAATCTTCTCCTTATTTTTGGGCCTCAGATCTCGGTCCGAATAAGATCTTTTTCAGATTTTAAAAGTGCATTTTTTTTTCTTCAAGTAGCATGATGACCGCGGCTTGTTTGTGTTACGTGTGGGGGGCCCTTAAACTTATATGTTGTCTTAGCCTTGGTCAAGGCTTAATTGACTATAATCTTGGTTCCATCTTGCTGCCTTGACTGCAAGCTGTGCCCAATGATTAGTTGTGCTTATCCTTTCCAAAGCTTGAGTGTGTGGGCCAAAGTCTACTGCTGCTGCAGAGACTAAGCCTTGCCCAATGCTTAAACCGTGACAAATGGTTGTTCTGTAGTTCTTGCTCCTTTTTCCACTCTTCTTTCAAATTTTAAGCCCAATCTCCTACCCTACTTCAAAATAAATCAAATAACTTAATTAAATAGCAAGCAATTCAATTTAAACAAACAAAAGTAGACCAACAAGGATATTGTTTTTGTACACTATCATTGATAGACATTTTGCTATTAAAATTAATTGTATTCTTTTGTTTAAAAAAAATATATTTTTAAAATATTAAGTTATATTATGAGACAACTGACCCATAAGATTATATTAACTTATTAATAATATTTATTAGAGTAATAATGTTCTTGTAGATTCTATATGCATATTGTTTCTATTAAGAAAAAACTCATGTCTATATTGAAATAATCATATATCTCACATGTTAATATTTATTTGCTCACACAATATAAAACCTTAAGTTTGAAAATATAAATATATATAGATATATATATATATATATATAAAAGAAGTCCCTAGATTTTAGTTAGAATGAGAATTTTTAAGTTTATCATTTAATCTCCAAGATGCATGTTACATATATTATGGTTAATTCTTTTCTTTTTTGTGGCTTTTTTATACAAATATAGAATGTTAATGATTTTGAGCAATAACAAAAAGAAAATTATTGTACAAATCTAAGATTTTGAAGATATGCGTGTACTATTTATAAAAATAAACTTTTTAAGCATAATAATAGCGATCTATCATTAGAATTCCAAAAAATATAATATCCCATTGTGGATTATGTGTGCTAAAATTTTTTATACATTTATGTACTTACACAATAAAACCCTAACTTTGAAATTAGAAAAAAAAAAATATGAAAGAGTCACTAGACTTCTCTAGGATGAGAATTTTTAAGTTTACTATTCAATGTCCAGGATGAGCATTGTATATATTATGATTGGCTCTTCATTTTTTGTTGCTTCTTTACCTGAATATAAAATACTAATGATTTCGAGTAAGGACAAAAGGATAATCATTATACAAATCCAAGAATTTGTAACGGTGCATGTACAATTTATAAAAATACACTTTCTAGCATAATAATGGCAACCCATCATTAGAATTTTCAAAAATATTATTCCTCATTGTGGATTATATGTACTAAAATTTTCGAAAATAAATATTTTAACGCAGATGAATAGGAAACTTATTAAGGTAGTTGTTACGAATTTTTGGTAAGTACTGCGCAAAGTCAAGTTGCTTCCAACCATTTGAAACATTTGAACCTAGATCTATAAACCACCATAGATGAAAATGACTTAAACAATTAAAAATCAAAACAAATAAAGATTTTCTTAGCAAACAGACACTGAAAAATAACATGGAGAATCAATTTAAACAAAGTATTAACTTTTATTTCAAATGATATCCATTTTATTACATGATAATGAAAAATTCAAACAAAACATGTATCCACTTATCACTACAACAGTACCACTAGTGGTGTATCTTTAAATGCTGAGTACATGTGTATATCAATGGACACATAGACGATCTTTCAATTACTCTCGGACCTCGTACTTGCGAGCCCAAATATGCTTTCCATTGTTCTTAAACTTGGCAATCCGACAACCGCTTAAAACGATATCAACTTGCTCAACAGAGTGAAGGACGAGCTTCGCAAACAAAGGCTGCTCATGGGGCTGAATGTTGTCCTGCATAATCACAGTTTCAACAAAATTATCACCGAAAGTCCTGGAAAAAACATCTGCCACTTCAGCCGCCGTCACTGGAAATCCTCGGGAGAAAGTCAAGAACAAGGTTCTATCATTTTCTGTAACATTACTGCTAGGGTGCCATCCCCAAATCCCTCCGTTGGGTAAACCATTATCACAAGCTCTTGGCATCACATGAACTGCACCAAAAGTTGGATGAGGAAAACCAGGAATAACAAGAGACTGGTTAAGACTTACAAAACAACGATTTCCCAACACGAGGTGGAGAATGTCAGGGAAGATTCGAGAGCAGACGGAGCCAAGGAAGTTCTTGATTCCAGTAACGGCTGCATACTTTTGTTGGTAAATCGACACGAAAGACATGTCGGTGCCAAAGAATTTATCAGTGAGGGGCATGCCACCATCGGCAACTGGGGAAGGAGGATTGTTGGATTCAAGGGACTTGATGCAGGCAGCGGCTTCATCAGCTAGAAGATCCACGACATGGTCCGGTATCGACCGCATCTTGTAGACGAGATCGGGTATATGTTTTTCTTCAAGCCAGAACCAGAAGGCCAAAACTAGCATAGACTCAGCTGGGTCTCGCATGAAAGTGATGACCAGCCGAGAGAACAGCTCACGATCAATGGTGTGAAAAGAAAATAGCTCTTGGGGGGTGAGTGAGGCCATAGAGGAAGAGATTTTTAGATTGTCTAAAAAAGAGAGAGTTGCAGTAGTGAAGAGAGAGTTGGTGCTTATGTCGCTTTATAATGTGAGAACTCAGGTACTGCTTACAAATATAATATTATTTTTTATTAAAAAGTATCTACTAATTATAACTTACCCATAAAGGATTTTTCATTTTTTCATTGAAAATTTTCCTTTTATAATTAAAATTTTCTTAATTGATTATTTTATTCACCATTTTTGGTTTACAAACTGTGCAATTTCCCCTTTTGGGGTCCTAATATTGTCATGAATTCTAGTAGTGTTTTTTCTTTTAATTCAAGAAATCTAATGGGTTTTTGGTAAAAACAAAATCTAATGAATTTGAAAGTACTTCTTCTTGAGATAATTAATTTAGTGGATGGTTAATTGAATTAATAATTCGTACAAACTATAATTTTAATTTATATCCCAAAGACCTCTGCAACCGAAGTTCTCATGATGAACTGTAACCGAAGTTCTGTGTCGGATCAATAGGAAAATTCCAAAGACCTCTGCAAATCTCAAAAACCGACGCTACTCTCCTCCTCCTATTACACCTAAGCAACTGACTATGCTAAGCTGGATTAGTCAAAAGTAGTCCCAACTCACACAACCCACACAAAGCGATTATTAATATTATATAACGGCTCGAAATTTTTAGAAACGCCTCTCACCCGCCGAATTAAATGATGATGAGAAGGGTATTTATGGAAATGTAAAAGTATGTAAAGTTTGGCATTTTCTGAGAGGAGTTACTGGTGTTAGTAATTGTTGAAATCGAAGCTTATCCTAATCCCATTACAAAATAAGCGTTATGTCTCTCTTTTTCATGTACTGATTTTAACATTATTAAACTCAGACTTAATAATGACGTAATAGGAATTTTTTATTATCTCTATTTCTGACATTTTCATATAATAATAATATATGATTTAGAGTAGATCCATCAAGTTCTTTGGGCCCAGTCCATTGCGGACCAGACCTGGTTCTGCTATTTCGGACCAAGTTGAGAAAATACGTGTCTTTAGTGATCATTAATTTGTTACTAAAAATTACTTGAACCACCACAAATCAAAACCGCCACTAACTATTCAAAAGCATGCGGTAGTAGTTTAGGATTCGTCTCAAATTGGGTAACTTCGTGAAAAATAAACTATTAATAAAAATTACTTAAAGTATGACAAAACACATTTATATCGACGGTAATTTTTTAGAAATTCTACCAATTACTTCAGTAATCTTATTTAATTTATTGAATTTATAGTAATGACTGTAGAATTAAACTTTGTCATTGTCGATTTACATGACTGTTGAACTAAATTTATAATTTTTATTATTTTATTAGTTCATAGATGTTAACATCCCGAGTACAAATTTCCTAACCTGACAGGCAAGGAACATCAGGCACTGTAGAAATAGATTTACCCTTGGCATTTTTACAATAAGAATAAGTTTTTTTTCCTGGAACAGAGGAGGTTATGTTGACTTCTTCCATTACAATTCCTTCACAACCAATACTTGAACAATTCAAATTTATTGCTATCTCATCTATCGAAGTTCCTTGTAAACCACTGTACGTCACGCCGCTCACGTTCACCTCCGATATCTTGCTCATTGTTTGAAAAAATAAAAGTTAAAATTTACATTCAACTAGTCTTGCATTAATTTTTTAAATTTTTTTAAAAAGTTAAAGTTGAATAAAAAAAAATTATATGGTTTTACCTGGCTTATGTGCTTATCCACGTAGTGTTGATCAATTATAATCGGATTTTTGGAATCAATGAATGTGACATCCTTAAAGGAGATAACACGAGCGTATCCTGATCCTCCCTGAAAAAGAAAAGTCGATGTTTAGGCTGGACTGATTGAAGAAATGGGTGTTCTTTTGAATTTAGACAAAAATATACTGTGAAGATAGAAAAATTAAATAATCAAGAGAAACAATTCAATTTAACTAAAACAAAAGAAGAGAAAACAGAGTTCTCCATAAAGCATAATAGTCTTTTACACAGCATTTAATCTATTTGGGCGCACAAAAAACTGTAGAAAAGATGCAAAATCCTCAATGAGTAAAGATTTTGTTTTTCAAACTGTTGTGTAGAAATCCTTTGAGATTATTATCCTCATGAGGTTGGCTAGGAAAAAAAATCTTTGAAGAAACACTACTTTAGAATTTTTTTCATAATTAAATTAGATCTTAAAGAAATTGTGTAATTTGTATTAAAAATAAATATTTACATATGCAAAAAAAAAAATCTCAGGTGAACATAATTTTGTTAGGTTGTAACTTACTTGTATTGTCTTAATTCTGACTCCATTCTGGGTTGAATTTAAGGTACAATGTTGCACATATACCTCCTTAACTCTGTTATCTTGGTCGTCCCCCAGGCTTCCAACACTACATATGTAAGTAAGTACAAAAAATATAAATGTTAATAAAAAGTGTTTGATCTAATTATGTTACTGTCTGAAGTAGTTCCTACCTGATTCCATGACCTGGTCCACATGTGACGTCGGTGATATAAATGTGCGAGGTACCACCTTTAATAGCAATGCAATCATCCCCTTCATAACATTAATTACTAAAGTCATTTCCAGTTTATAAAGTTGTTTTCATATAGGACCTATATGTCAAAATATAAATATAGATTGAACACGAATGTTTAGTAATAATTAATTACTTTTTATAACGAGCTAGCAATTTAGAGCTCAAACACTCGTGATAGGATCAAATTTTACGGTAATATTATTCAATTGCAACAACATTATAATCATAGAGTAAATCTAAAAATGCTAGAAGTATAAGATTCAAATTACCAGTTCCAATGAAAGAATGAGATATATTAATTTGGCTTGAGGAAGAGAGATCAATTCCGTCGGTGTTAGGACTAGTCTTTGGTGCAATAATATGAAGATCTGAGATTGATACATGGTTGCACTGATGTATTGCTATATGGTTCCTTTGACTGTTTAGATGAGTAAGCCCACGTAGCTCAAGATTATTGCATTCATGGAGGTACAGAGCCTGCAATATTTCGTAATTTCAATTACGCAAGTCTATAAAAGAAAAACTGAAAAATTATTTCCTTCAAAGAAACTGAAGAGACTTTTACCCTGGGTCTCGGGCATGTTTCGTTTACCTGCAAAAATATCAATATTTTTATAAAAAATTTAGAATACTTAATCAATATTTGAAAATAATTAATAAATACATTTATTTAAAAAGAAAAATTAAATAAAATAATAAAGAGAGTAAAATAATTTTGGTATAGCATAAATTGAAGGGTAAATATAATAATAAAAACTTACGATTTCATATAAAATAATTTTTTCTAAAAAAGTGAACTTCAGAAAATGAATTATCACCCAAAAAAAATTATTAAATTCAAATTGCAATTAATAAAATCAAATTGTAGGAACCAAAATAAATTTTATTACATAAGACCACCAAGCTGAGCCATGGCCATCTATTTTTCCTGTTCCGCTTATGGTGAGACCATCCACACGATAGAAGCACAGCCAGTATTCTACTCCGCATTGACTCCATTCTTCAATAGAGTTGGGTGCTACAATATTTCCCAGAACCTGCTTTTCAAGTTGTAGAATAACAACTATTAATATATACATATATATATATATATATTTATATATCTATGAATGTTGATTATAATTATGGGTATATACATATATGCCTACCTGCTGCAATGACAGTCCTATATATGACTTCAAATTGAAGTTAATTCAATCTCGATTTGACTATGAACATCTCTATGAGAGCACGTCCATTAATAATACATCATCACCATTCCAAAAAATTATTTTAGTTGAAAGAAATGTAAAATAATTTTTTAAGATTTTGTACGTGTACATGTGATTATTAATTATAAATAAAAATATTATTTTAAATTATTAAGAGCAATTTTTTATATGTTTAATCTAATTTTAAAAATTATCTTTATTTTCAATCCAGATATACATATTTTTTATATAACCTATAGTTTGTTTTTTGAATAGGGGTAGAGTAATGAATAGAACAGCAATTAGGCACTTGGTTTTGGTAACTTTAAAAGTTAGTCATGCATAGCTACTTCAGATTTTTATGTTGCTGTATGTTCAAGAAGATGAAAATGATAGTATAAAAATCAATATTGTGTCTAGTCTCGTTATATGTGTACATCAAAATTTTATTGATTTCAAAAACAAAATACATACCAATATCAATTTACGACCAAATTAATTTTTAGTTTTAACCAATTTAATAAACAACTGAATGAATCAAACTAATTTAGTTCAACTCATCCTAATCGATTTGGTTCATTCAATTTGTTAGTCCTAGTTCGCGTTTTGTTAACCCTAGTGCTTACAATAATAATTGTAATTATGTCAGCATCGTAACTAATGAGATGTTCAATGATAATGATGATGGTAATATCAATGATATGGTAGTGCTAACAAGAGTAAACATGAGTGGCTATGACAGCAGCAGCAACAGGTTGGAAAAAGTGATCATGGTAGCAGAAACGTTAAAATTGTCAGCAACCATAATAGGAATGAAGGAGATAGTTACAAAAGCAACAACGGTAAATGACATCAATCATAACGACAACAACACTGGCGACAATGACTACAGTAGTGGAAGTGATGATCAGAATGACAGTAATGACAACATTAAATATAATAATGATAATAATAACAATGATAATAAATTCAGCACTAAAGGTGACGATGAAGAGATAACAATAATAATAGAGGTAACAATTTGATCATAATAGAAAAAATATAGCAATGAGATTACAATAGTGATAGTAACTATGATAACAATGATAATGATAGTTGTGTCATTAATAGTAACGAAATAGAGTTATATGATAAATTATAATAATAGTGATGATATTTATAATCATAATAGTAATGACAACGATGATAATGATTATGATAATAATAATAATGGTAAAAATAGCTGGTCGTTATACTAATAATGAAAATACAGTTTGTGACAACAATATTTTGTTTGAAAAAAATAGAGATGGAAGTTAAATATAGAAAATATATTTTGAACTTTTTAAAATATTATTTAAGCAAATGGTAATAGAAAATCATATCTCAAATTGAATAAAATAGAGTTATTGCTAATCCTTATTATACCCTATTATTATTTTTAAATATTATTTTATTTTTAACTGACAAATTTTACCAATGTTTTTACGCGTATGTATATACATATACACGTATATATATTATTTAAAGAAGGAGAAAAAAAATAAACGTTACTAACCAAAATATTGAGACTGTTGGAAGCGCAAGGACCGCAAAATCTGAGAGATTGCAATAAGAAAGTATACTCCGCGGGTATTTGCAGTTGTGGTGAACCAGCAGCTTCACATAGAGCTCCCCATGCTTTTGTAAACGCCTTCAACACCAAACCAAAAAAAAAAAAAAAAAAGCTAAATTAAGTTAATAATTGTAATTTATTGGCTTCTAATTACACAAAAATAAATTATTGAAAA